AATGAGGATGGGAATAATGGTGAGGACAAGAAGAAATAATGTTGAATTGATTGCAGAAATAAAAATAAACATAAAAAGAAGCCCCAGTGTGCCTGTTTTATTGAGCCTTATACATGGTAAAGCAAGAAATCCGTTAAAAAGCTGAAGCACTTCACAAAAGCTCTCAAATTCAGCTTTGAAGAACTAGTAGAAAAAAATATGCAAGAACATTCTATGTCAAAACCATTACTGATTGCAGAGCATCTCAACACAAATCCAAAATATCCCATATAAAGAAATGGGGAAAAGGAGAGTCCATTACAGCATATGAAGTTGAATTTTGAAAGATAGCTGAACACTGCAAATGTAATGGTAGAATATAGATTGCACTGAGAGGTCAGCTAGTCTGTGGAATTTTGAAATAAAGCATTAGAAAAAGAGCCAGATTCGAAATCACTATTACCATGGAAACTGCTGCTAGAGATACTATAGAACATCAGTTAAGAATAAAAGCAAATGTAAATAAATGTGACAACAAATAAGCTGAGAGTAACAGGTCAAATTGAAATGGGCTATCATTGTGGCAAAGATTCACAAATATCATCTCAACATAGTTTTAAAGAAAATCCAAAAAAGTTGGATGCATATAGAAAGTTTGTTACTTGGAGCAAGCAAACCAATATTTTAAAAGGAATACACGGTGAATATTATAGATGAAACAATTCATAATACAAGTGAAATAGGAATAGTCAAACCAGAAATTCATACCATAAAAGATGAAATGAAAACAGCAACATAGTTCATACCACAATTAAATGACAAAATTATGTAAATACAATTGCTCACTGCTTTAGTCAAGAAGGCCTCACACAGGTTCACTTCATATGTTAGTTGTGCCCATTCTTGGATTGGGAAGGTCTTCAGAAAGTCACTTGCACCTTGCTTACCTCTACAGTAGATTACTGTAATATAAGATATATGGGGCTGGCCTTGAAAATCACTCAGAAACGGCACCTGGTCCAGAATGAAGAGGCATGGACTGTGATGGGTATGTGGCATGAATATGTGTCCCCTTGGCTTTGTGACTTGCACAGGTTCTCAGTTGACTTCCAGGTGTAATTCAAGTTGCTGGTTATCACCTATAAAGCTGTGCATGGTATAGGGAGTGATTACTTGAACGGGACTGAGTCCCATTGGTTTGTCACTTACTCTTTGGCTTTTTGTGTTTTGTTCTCTGATCAGTGGACTTCTTTTCTCTTTATATATTTTATATTATTTTAATGTGTGCCATCCAGAATCTCTTGAATTAGGCAGCCTCAAAACTTAAAGTAATAAATAAGAAAAATATAACAAACAACTTCCGGTTGACATCATGGCGAGAACAGCTGGAAAATATTGGTGCTCCGCCAGACTCCGTGAAATGCAGCCGGCAACTGCTTGCTGGGAGACCCTATGGGGTTAAGCTGCTCTAGAGGGGTGGTGAAGAAAGGAGAGGTGCTTTGTTGATTGCGAGGAAGCCACAATTTCCTCGTTGATCCTCATTGAACAGCAGCAGGGACGACGGCCATTTTTGGTCGGTCACAAGCTGGGACAACTGGGACACTAAGATCGTGTGCTGAAGCAGTGTGTGGACAGAGCAGTGAAACTGGGTGAGAAAATTTCCAACTGTTACCTTAGAAATTTAACCTAAGTTAAAAGTCTTAAAAAATGATCTCCAAACATTAAAAAAGCAGCAATTAGACTTATGGAGAAAGATTAAAGACTAAAAACTAAAGAGGAAGATTAAAGAATTAGAAGTAAAAGAAAAACCTAAAGGGTGATTTAAAGCATAGAAAGCCTGGAAAAGCCAAACAACATTGTGAAAAGTGACTACTGGGAGAAATTGCTTTTCTAAACTCTGTCTCTAACTCCCCTGACTGGATGACAATCAGATGTTTCTGATTTTTATATTCTGTGGAAAACTGGAATTGGGAGCAGGGGAGCCATCTACTGGAGGAAGAAGATTACTGCAACGTGTAAAATTCAAAAGAAGGTGATGAGAAAGTAAACAACATCTGGAAAGCTACCTGACCTTGACTTTATCTTAGTAGACAATTTGGATGCTGGGAAATATTTACTGAGCTTTTTTGAAGATTCAGAAGACAAATTAAATTAAACACTAAAATTCTATTGGAACAGTACACTGAAAAGCGGATTTGAAAGATTTGGTGGGTTAAGCTGGATTTGGATTATTAACAATATGTGATAGATCATTTTACGAAGCAAAAGAAGAAAAGCAACAGAAGGGGGAGAAAAAGAAGAAAAGATAAATAAGATTTTAAAATCTGGACAATTGGGAAGATGTAAATTGGAAATTATAAAGACTGAAAAGCACAAATTTATAGACATTTAGTGGACTTGGAGGAACAACTTTGGGATTGACCAAATCTTATTAATAATTGATTTTTTCTGGAGTTTGTAGATATTGGGAAACTGAGATATTAGAGGTATATTAACTTGTTACTAAATGACCCAGCAGGAGACAATAAAGTTTTATGAAGAAATGTTAGAAATAGTGATAAAGTATTATAAGAAGTTGATGGGAATATTTAAAGATAAAGATGTGAAAGTAGAAGGCTCTCAACAAATGGTGGGAAAAGATGAATATAACACACAGAAGACAGCTGAGAAATTAGAAGGAGTGGTGGAGGGGACAATGCAAAATAAACCACAAAAAGATAAAAATAAGTTAAAAGCAGATAAAAATACTGAAAAGACAGCAATGATAAATACTAAAAATCAAATAGACATTACCTTAAGAGCTTATAACAGAACAGAGGAAAAAAAGAAAGATCTTTCAAAAGCAAGATGAATATTCAAAAGATGCAGCAGAAGGAGATAAAGGCTAAGGCAGAGGGAACAATCAGTTTGTGTAATAATTCTACAAAGACATAGGATTCCAAGACAGAAACATAAAAGAACCACCAAAAAAATCAATAAATGATTTATCATTTTATCATTTATTTATCAATAAATGATAAAATTTTAAAAAGGCTGAGAGATGATGGATAGAGATATAATATTTTGCAATATAGTAACAATATTGAAAACTAATAGAAATAAGTGGAAAGTTTAAATTAAGAAAACAGTAAAACATATATAGATATTTAATACAATTTATTATAATACAGATATATTAAGATTAGGAGGTGGAAGATTAGGACTAGGTATATCTAAAGATATTATTATGATTAACAGGATGGAAAATATATTGTAAAATATAGTTTTTAAGGACTATGAATTCAGGGGACTTAGAGATATAATCTTGGGACTGATTAAAACGTATTGACAACTGGTTTTATTGGCGGTGGCTCAGTGGCTAAGACACTGAGCTTGTCAATCAAAAGGTCAGCAGTTCAGCGGTTCGAATCTCTAGTGCCACGTAATGGGGTGAGCTCCTGTTACTTGTCCCAGCTTCTGCCAACCTAGCAGTTCGAAAGCAGATAAAAAACGCAAGTAGAAAAATAGGGACCACCCTTGTATGCCTTTGACATTTAGTCATGCTGGCCACATGACCACGGAGACGTCTTTGGACAGCTCCAGTTCTTTGGCTTTGAAACACCACCCCCTAGAGTCAGGAATGACTAGCACATATGTGCAAGGGGAACCTTAACCTTTTATAGAAAGTTGAGATATTGAAAATGTGGTGGAACACAGCGATATGTATAATATTAAAATGTCAGGAGTTAATAAGTATATAAAAGAATATATTATAGTTATAATGAGCACATTAAGGTTAGAAGTTGGAAGAGAAAAATTCTGTATATGCAGTTGTATTATGACTATGAGCACTGTGTGAAAAATATGTTAACCTAGTCATTACACTGTCCACAAAAAAATGTTGGTTGTTAAAGAAAAACTGCAAATAAAATATATACAAAAAGAAAAGAAAAGAAAGAAAAATATAAGAAATGAGTTGCTGATATATAATTTCCTTTTTCTTTTTCCCCCATTTTTTAAATCAAGTCTTCCCTAGAGACCTCACATTAACATGATTATAAATATGTAGTAGGTTGGCTTCCAAAATGTGCTAATGTGTCAAAATATGTTTTCCCCGCACATCCCATATATTTACATATTGGCAAATGAAAGTGATTTGGTGAATGACTTCAAAATACCCTAAAGCTTTCCTTTCCTTCCACCCCTTCAGTAGCAAAGTTTTCTTCGACCTAGAATTTCCTTGGGATGACTGGTAAAAAGCTGTGAATTAACTGATAAAAGAGCAGAATAAAATATTTCAGAATATATTTTTTTTTACAGCACAACAACTTGCAAGAATATTTGCAATTTTTTTGGCAAGAATACTGCGTACAACTTGGCAGTAAACCTCAGTCAGGAAAGTGGTATTAGGAAGAAGGCAATAGAATATTGTCAAATCTGTTGCGAGATCAGCCTTTCTGAAGAATTATCTACAAAGCAGTATTGATTTGCTACTGAGAGAATGGCATAGGGCTTAAATTTTAAAGTGTAGGACTTAAGAAATCATTTGTTGTTCTTTATTCTGAATTTAAAACATCTTGCAAAATCATCATCATCATCACCACTACCACCATCAAACAGAAATTAAGTAATGTGGAAAAAGATAACGGTATCAAGAGTGGTTGATACGTTTGATTTGATGCCATACCAAAATCTCTGACAAGATACCTGGTCACTCTAGGGATAGACAAAACTTGAACACATCAGTTACAAAATGTTGAATTAGTTGGTACAGAGGTAGGCTATGATGTTATCTTTAACTGTCCTAGATCCTTGGTCAGGATCTGATAGTTGAAAGTACCAAATCTAATCAGAACTATCTGGAAGGCTCCATATAAAAACAACAACAGCAGCAGCAGTAACAGCATATTGTTTATCTACCACTTTCTCCTAAAGACGACCAAAAAAATTCACAAAATAATACAGTAAACCAATAAAAGTGCAACATTTAAGTGTACTGCAATGAAAAACTCTTTATCAGCTTAAAAGAGCAAAATACTAACCTGTATTGTCATTTAGTCCTGCAAGAACCATCACCTTGTCAATTCTGGGGAAAACAAATATGTCTTGTGCTGCTATCTAAAATTAAACAGCATATTCATCTTGTTTTCAGAAAACCTTGTTTTTCTGAATATTTGGCCAGAACTTGCTTTTCTGACCTTTGTGTGCATTGATTTTAATTTGCTCACCCTTTGAAGAGGAGGAAACAATGTAGCAAACATTGCTTCTGATTAAATCAGATAAAATTATATATTACAATGTTTATTCTGTATAGAGAACAAACCCTCAATCTAACAGACTTGAGCTGCCATGAATGAAACTTGCCTATATGCTATATACTGTATTTCTTGGTTACAGAACACATATACTATTTTTAACCTGCACAAAATATGTAACGTGCAGCGGTGGGTTACACATTTTGTAACCACTGGTTCGCTGCACATGCTCATGTTCGCTTCATGTGCACACCTTCCATGCATGCGCCCGGCCTTCCACGCATGCACTCTGCTCGCACATGCACCTTCCACGCATGTGCTTGGCCTTAAAAACATGCCTAAATAGGATGGCATAGCGCCAGGGCGGGTGGGCCCGCCCACAATCTCCACTACCGGTTCGCCTGAACTGGTCCGAACTGGCTGAATACCACATCTGGTAATGTGTATCTATAGAACCCCCATTCCTTTTTAAGGCATGCATACAGCCTATTTGGTTTTGATCGAAACTTTGCTCTAAAGGAGATCCTTTCCTCTCTATTAGACTAAAGAACTGAGGGTTAGCTGAATAAATTAGCTTGCTCTCCTTTCAAGAGTTTTAGACTAGAGTCTATCTTATCCTTGCTTAGAAAGACATAAAGAGTGAATCATGGACTTCATGCATCCAAATGTTGGATGTTATGTTGCTGGGTTTCTATGTCACAGGTGCCCAGAGGCTCTGAGCTACAGTCATTCCTTAGTGTTCTTCACGGGTGTCAAACTCACCATGTCATGTTGAGATCATATGACTTTCACGACATTTTTCCCATTCACAGAGCTTCAGTGGGTGTGGCCTGTGCGTGACACATTTGGCCCATGGGCCACCAGTTTGACACCCCTGGCTCTACTTCATTTTTTTATTTTTTATTTTTTTTGAGATATTTGGAAATGGTAATTGTATCTTTTTAAACCATTTCCTCCTCCCCCCACAGCTAAACTTACCCTAACTTGTTGACTATTCTAGAAATGGCTACTATTATATTTTAGTAAACTTTCTTGGGATCTTATCTAATTTCTCAGTCCTTTCCTAAAATTCACTGCTCAGAATTAGACAAAATTGAAGTCTGATCAGCAGAAAATAAAACATACCATTGTTTCCCACTATCTGGATATGAATTTTCTGATTGTGAAAGTTAGATTTATTTCCATTTTTACCAGCAATGTTAGATTTCTGGCTCTATTCGTCTTGAGATTAACTTTTCGGAAATGTCTAGAGGCTTAAAGACCAAATGATTACTAGTCATTAATATCTGAAATTTAGAAGAACATCCCACAATGAGTATGAACTAATGTAATGAGTTTCTTTCCTGCATATGAATAAGTTGAGAAATTAAAGTAATTCCTCTCACCAGGAATTAACTGAAGAAGAGGAAGAGTGCTAAGCAGATTGAATCTTTTTCTTCCTTCCAACATAACTAGAATCAGAAGAGGGAAAACTAAGCTCCAGCTGCATGTGAATCTCCCCCACAAGTTTTTATAACAATGTGGGTGCCCTTTATTGAGTGTAAGGATGGATAGTCCATGGCATGTCAGTTTGCTGCAGGGAGATCTGAGGACCTTTGCTTCAAAGGAAGCTGGCAGTTGTGTGACCCTTGACCTGTCCAGGGAATTTTCCACCTGTCAAAACATGGATACTATTTCTCTGCTCCACAGGGCTGTTGTAAGAATAACTCATTGGCAATTGTGGCATAATTACTTACTTCACTGTGGAAACCATATAAATATCTCAGACAGACATAGGATCTCCATTTAGATATAATAAATATTAGCACAGGCTTCATCCTGAAATTCATATCTTTACTTTGCTCGAGCTGTTCAAGAGAGGATGTTAATAATATACTGTAAAGAGACCTTTACAATTTTAATTAATGAAACTGTATCTCCTCTGTCTCCAGTTCTTCTCCCAGTTATATTAACGCGCCTTACTCTGGCTCATGAAGTGACTTTTACACAGTCAGAATTAAAAAAAATAATAATCAAAGGAATTCTAATTCAGCCCCATTTTGTGCATGTTATCCTGCTGTGTTTATGTCTTAACAGGGAAAACTTTGATCTTCCTCTAATAACAAGCAATTTTACCTCTGATATGTATCTTAGGTCCATATCATTTACTATTACATTCACCATGGCTGCTCCTGCAGACTTGCCAGCAAGAGTTCAAAATTGCAAATATGGCATTTCTAAGACTTAATGTTACAAGATAGCATTATAGCCTAGGAAATAAAATAAAAATTTAAAAAGATCTTAAGAGATAAGGAAAAAAATGAAATTTGATAAAATAGTCATTGAGTAAACAGGAGCCATGCTGATTTACTTAGAGCGGGCCAAATGAAAACAGAAGTTTCTTTTATGTGATGACACATACTGAAATGTCATTTCACTTTCAGTGAGGAGAAGCAAAAGCGATTATATTGCATCGACAATAAGTATGAGTCAGGCATGTTTCTTAAATAGTTTAAATGGAAAATAAAATGTTCTATAAGAACATTTAGGTGTAATATAAAACGCTGCAGTATATTAACAGGAATTAAGCCAAGTTTATTTAACAGAATAACAAAGTTGGAAGGGACCGTGGAGGTCTTCTAGTCCATCCCCTTGCTCAAGCAAGAAACCCTGTACCATTTCAGATCAATGGTTGTCCAATCTCTTCTTAAAAACCTCAGTGTTGGAGCACCCACAACTTCTGGATGCAACTTGTTCCACTGATTAACTCTTCTGTCAGGAAATTTCTCCTTAGTTCTAGATTGGTTCCAGTGGTGGGATCCAAATTCTTTAACAACCGGTTCTCTGCCCTAATGACTGGTTGGGAGTGTGTGGCTGGGTAGGCGTGGCCAACTCAACATCACTCACGGCAAGGTGGTGGTGCAGGTGGGCTGATGCTGCAGGGCAGTTTCCAAGCTCCTCCCCCCTCTTGGACTGACAAAATAAAAGTCAATCTAAAGATCGTGACTGCCTGCCGAGTGCATGCTGGCAAAAGGAGGCTGGGAGGGAGTGGGGTGAAAGAGAAAGGCTTTTGATTTTTCAGAGAAGGAAGACATTCTCCAACAATTTACCAATAATAAGATTTTGTCTTGCTATTACTACTCTTACAGCCCAGAGGGAGAAGTTCCCTGTGGATATCTTCTCTTGGGAATTCATTAAAGTATGGAAAGTCAGGAAACATACAGGCTGCTTGAGAGATGATTGAGCAATAAAGAACTCATCATTCACATTCATCTATTAGACATCTCATAAGTAAAGTAAATAAATGCAAGAACACAACACCGACCCGTGAGAATTTCTTCAACAATATCTTCTCTTACTGAATAATTTCTAATGCCCCAATTCTCTGTTGTCATATTGAACAAGAGCTAAGGAGCCAAAAACAAACAGACAGACAGGCAGACAGATAGACAGACAGACAAAGAACTATATTTAGTTTAAAGTGAGGTTGTTTCATATCTCTTCTAAACTTAATGTCAAAGGGACCCATTCCATCAAACAAAAGGTTGTGGCATACAAATAGCTTTCAAACGTTATCAGAAAAAGAAATACTGGAGAAACATTTATCATTTGAGGGTGTGTGTGTGGAAGCAGAATTATTTTTCTGCCTGGTACTGAAGTATCAAGGGTTGTTTTCCAGGGTTTTGGGAACATAGGAATCTGTCTTATACTGAATGAGACCTTGGTCTGTTTAACTCACTATAGTCAGTAATGACTGACAATAAGTGGTTGAGGTATTTCAGGCAAGAGTTTTTCAAGTTCTTCTTGAACATGAGACATCTTGCACACAAAGTATATCCCGTACATTACTTTTCATTTGTTGCAGAAATCTACAGTAGCTCTGCGGTTTAGTAACTGTCAGGACTGGGCATGCTTCAAAAATTATTGCAAAGATTCAAATAATATTCTTGCTCTCTCCTGTCATTTGGGCCCGAAAAGGTCCATTTTGTTTTTTGTTTTCATTTTCATTGCCATGTATTTTGAAAGCCAGGAAAGTCAACAGACTAGTCTGGCTGCCAGCAGTTGCTAGTTCATTTAGTTCATGCTGTCACTTTATCCACTAGCTTCAACATCCTAGTATCCTGGTCTCATCCCCTCATTGTGACTCAGAGGGATCTTACGTCAAACTATAGATCATATCGTGACTGGCTGTAAGATGAGGGCATATACTGATCCAGTATCTGCTTTTTTAATATAAATGATGCTGCACTTCAATGGTTAGATGACATAGACCAGTGATGGCTAATCTTTTTTCCCTCAGGTGCCGAAAGCGGGTGCATGCGTGTGACAGCATGTGCATGTGTGCCCACACCCATAACACATGCGTGACCCCCGCTGTGCTCCCCGTCCCCCTATGCATGCGCGTGCAACCCTCATGCTCCCCCACCCCCTGAGCATGCGCATGTGACCCCTGCGCCCACACACATGCGTGCACAACCTCCCATGACCCATTTGAGGCCTAGCAGGCCTCCCTGAAGCCTCCTGGGACCAAAAATGGGCCATGGCCCATTTTTGGTGCCAGGAGGCTTCAGGGAGGCCTGCTAGGCCCAAAATTGGGGTGTGTGCCGCTCCCCCCAGTCCCCGTGCATGTGCACACAACACCCCCACCCCTGTACATGCGTGCACGACCCCTCTGTGCATGCATGCCCGACTCCCCCATCCCCCGTGCATGCACGCACATTTCCGCAGAGAGCCGAAAATCAGATGGCCGGCGAGAGGCGCGTGCACATGCATGGTGGAGCTGACCTAGGGTGACAGCTCGTGTGTTGACAGAGATGGCTCCATGTGCCACCTGTGGCATACGTGCCATAGGTTTGCCATCATGGACATAGACATTGATGTTTGAACATAGAACTTTTTAACATTTATATTTTATTGGGTTCTACTTCATCACCATCAACTCTTAACAACCACATAATCCCTTGCGGGGTCAGGTCTGGGCAACTGAGTGGAACTGAGTGTTTACTGGCCGGATGCCCTTCCTGTTGCCAATGTGGAGCTATATTCAGCAGATATATTCTCATCCTGCCCAGAGAGAAAAATATCTGCCTCTACCTAGGATCAAACTCACAGCCTCTTGATTGTGAGGTGAGCACTACTCATTTTATTGGGTTCTACTTGCCATAAGCTAAATAAATAAATAAATAAATACAAATTGCAAAGAATGCTTTAGAATGGATAGGATCCTAAACATTCCATACAAGTCTGAAAAAAGAGGCATCAAAAATATAAAATGTGAAGTGACCACATAGGTAAATGAGCAAGGTCTACCTGCTTTTAACAGACTTTCAACTAATCCTAAGCATTCAGAAGTCACAAATAATTGCAAACTATAATATCCACCTAGGGGAAGCTCAACCCCCGCCCCCAAACCTCAAGATAGTGGTCACTTGTTCAAAATCCCATCCTTTGTACATGTATATGATATCAAAGCATGTTTAGAAAAAACAGGATTTTAATTGTACAGTTATGAACCCCATCTTGACTTTCTGCTTGTGGATGCTACTCATTGCAATATCTCTGGTATGTACTGTATGTGACATAATAATTTTTATGGTGTGCAGATTAGAATTTCCTAACTGGATCAAAGTTAACTCTTTTATCAAAAGATCAAACTCTTTTGATGAAATAGATAAAAATGGCTTCTCTTTGTAACATAGCCTGTTATTCCAGCAAATCAAGGATTTGTAAATGAGGTTTGTGTTTGTATATCTGTTCACTTTCCCACTACAGAAATGAGACACTTCTGAAAATAGGCACTGATTGTATAAATTTGGTAGATGGTGGTCAAATATTAGAAATCGGTTGTTGATCAGGTAGATCATATTTGAATCACTATATTTCTATTCAAGCCTTAGTCAGGCCTAAAAAGGTAAAACAGAAAGGGAAGTACTCATGTGACTGCTTGAAGGATACTCTAGGGACAGGTAGGAAGGAGCTGAAAATTTGTCCCCTGGCTAAGGAAGGATTTTTTTTTTTTTGCTTTTTAGTATCACTTTAATTGCTCTGAGGAAACTCAAGAGACGTATACACAACTGCAGCTAAATAAAAATTTTCCACTTCAGCAAGTTATTCAACTATAGGGAATTCTCACGTCCTATGCAATTGAGAGCATTCTTGCCCAGAAAATAGAAATCATTGATCATTCCACACACAAAAAATGCATTGTTCTTTTATCTGTCTGATGGACTGTGATTTAAACATTTCATCCTGATCTTCAGGGCTAATATGAATTGATGTGAAGACTGGGCTATTATTCTATATCATTTAAAGGTTGTTTTCTGTAGCCAGACCTAGGAGCCCTTTATTACACGTGCAAACACTTAATGGAAATCCAAAGCGCATTTAGCTTTGGGAGTGAGAAGGTAGATTTTAGGAAAATATATATAGAAGGTTGAGGCAGAGCTACAGAGATCTTTTATGCAGCTCCTTTGAGATTTAACAGTTTCTCAAATTGGAGTTTATAAGGCTTGAGTTTTGTAAACCAGATTTCCTTGTAGCTGTTAAGTTTGATGTATCTATTGCAAATCTTGTCACTTTTACCACAGTTCATTCATAAGTCTGTATCATCT